CGAGGGAGCAAACCTCCCGCGCGCGGCAAACCAGGGATATTAGTTATCGCGAGAAGGTGGCGGAGGAGGAAAGGGGCGTTTGAAACGCAAATCTAAAGACGGTAATCGAGGTAGCGATTGAGGGAGTTACAGAGGAGAGGGGGGGGGAGGCGAGTCGGGGTTGAATCGCGTGAAAAACACTTTGAACTGCCTTTCTACGAAAATTACTTTCGCTTTCCTCAATTATCCCCGCGAAATCCTATTACCTTCGTCGAAAAATTTCCCTATTATTCTTCGAAACCGCACGAGACCCGGCTCGATCGACCGTTCTCGCTGAATGCGGCCGCGATTGTGTGCACGAACACCCGCGCGTGCATGCACACGCGCGCGCGTATACACGCACGCGTATAGATGCACGCATACGGAGAGAGAGAGAGAGAGAGAGAGAGAGAGAGAGAGAGGGAGACTCAGAGAGCAAGATAGAGAGAGAGAGAGAGACTCAGAGAGCAAGATAGAGAGAGAGAGAGACTCAGAGAGCAAGATAGAGAGAGAGAGAGAGAGAAAGATTCAGAGAGCAAGATAGAGAGAGAGAAAGATTCAGAGAGCAAGATAGAGAGAGAGAGAGAGACTCAGAGAGCAAGAGAGAGAGAGAGACTCAGAGAGCAAGAGAGAGAGAGAGAGAGAGAGAGAGAGACATACAACGGAGCTCGAAAGTTGCAGCCCGCGTCTCGGAAGCGACGTTACGGACAGGTCGAGAGGGAGCCTCGCGCTCGCGCGCGTCGTTAAAAATAAGAGCGGCAGAAAAGGAAGAACAGGTAGTTGTCATTTTTTCTTCCGCTTTCTTCTCGTTAAAGGGGTGCAGGAATAGGAGAGAGCGAGGCGGGTCGACGCGCGCGGTTCAAGGCAAATGCAATCCCCGATATTAGATTCCCCGTTCGCTCCCCACCCAGTTCCGAATCGACAGTCTTTCTTTTCACGTTCCCGCCTCGTCGCGTCGTTTCGCTGATTGCTCGCCCCGTTGGTTTCACTCGAAAATTATCTCTCGTGTAATCGTCCCGAGGAAAGTTTCTTCTCTCTGTGTTTCCCCCCGGCAGGGGGTGGCGAAAGAGGGCGGGGGGACCGGGACCGTCCAGAGCCAAAGGGAAAAGTTCGGTTTATTCGCACCCAGACAAAGCCGTTGGATGCCAGCATGTGAACTTTTTAATGTTTCTTCGGTCCAGGAAGCAGACCCGAGAGCCACGCCGAGTGGCTCGCCCCGGAGTAGCCGGAAATTGAACTTGCCGGATGATAAAAAGCGGGAGCCCGCAATGTAGTCGGGGTCTTCGTAGACCGTCTTCGCCGGGCGAACGGATTCCTGCTGTTTGTTGCTCGCGGACGAGCGGAATACAAATTGTTGCCCAGCTGGCGATCGCCCCTGTTCGAGCGAATTTATTTAGCCGACTCGGTAGAACTCGACCCGGTTGTAACCGCGCCGCAGATCCTTTCGCGTTTATGTGGCAAAAATGAACGCGTCGCGTCGCGACGACGGTGGTCTTCTTAGCTGAAACCGCTGCGAACATAGTCGAACGGTGTAAAAACGATAAAATCGGAAAGGAAAATTAGGGAGAATTTACTGTATTTCTATGCTTCATCGTTGCGATCAACGTTTATCGAACGCGATGCAAACGCAGGCGTTCGCGAGCTAATCGAAATCTATTTTTCAACAACGTTAAATTGTAATTAACACGTTCGTCGGAAGCGATTGAATAAATTCCCCGCTCGAAAATTTCTATTTTCACGTTAAACAAAGCGGAATCGCTAATTCCCCGATCTATATAACGAGAAAAAATGAAATAAAATTCTGCATAATTTTCATTTCATAACCGAGATTGCACTGAAACTGTACAATTCGTGGAACAAATGTCTCGGAACCCTGAATCAAGGAAAGTTCATCAACCGGTTCTAATTTTTCTGTAAATAAAAAAGAAGAGTTTCCGCTGTTTCTATCGCGCACCGAATATTTCATAGAACAGAGCTTTCGCGAATCCAGTTTCGAAGAGCCTGCGAATCGTCGCGCGGCCAGGCTTCCGATTCTCTAATGACCCGCGCGACTTATTTCCACCGAAGCCTCTTTTATTATCCGGCTATCTGTGTTTTGGAGTAAACGGCAGCAACGCGATCCGAAAATTGGCCGGCGCTCGCTGTTGCAGTTCAATTACACAGATAGCCGAGATGACAGAAGTCGAACCTCCCATCTGGAACGTCCTCTCTTCATTTCCTGCCGGCCGAACACGACAAACGAAAGCTTTCGCTTGTGAACTTTATGACTGGTTTCCGAAATCCCCGTGTGATTTTACGATATCTGCCGATAGCCGGCGAACATGGACGTGCACTAGCGCTTAGAAATTTTACTACACGCCAGACCCGAAACCGTGCTAAAAGCGCCCGACTGGAAACTTTTTAATATTCCTCACCGTCGAATGTGCCCGTTAACTAATGCTCTCGCATATGCGCCTCCAACTGCAAACTGTCCGATAAATACTACGATTTTATGACAGCGACAACTTCGGGACAATCTTTTAGATAATATATTACTTATATATTACAATATATTAGTAATATATACAATAGTATATAGTAATAGTAATATAATACTATAATATATATAATATAATATATAATACTATATATATATATATATATATTACAATATTTATATAATATATTATATATATATATATAATAATATAGTAATATATATTACAATATTTATATAATATATTATTATATATTTCCAGTTATGCCAAAGTTATGTCAAAGTTATGCCAAAATTATGCCAAAGTTATATCAAAGTTATGTCAAAGTTATGCCAAAGTTATACCAAAGTTATGCCAAAGTTATGCCAAAGTTATGCCAAAGTTATGCTAAAGTTATGTCAATATTACACGAAATAAAAGTTAATAAATGCTCATTATACTCGTATAGCCATATCATACTTAGTACAATTTTGCTCTTCACATTTCTACCATAAATGCATAAAATCCACATTCCACTAATCACCGACTCGAATCTCAATCTAACAGAGTGTTTCACTATTTTATTCTTCCCTTTCACATTTCTGCCACAAACGCATAAAATCGACATTCTACCAATTTAATTCCCAAAGTGTGCAGAAGTGTTTCCAGTTACCCGGACAACCGAAAGCACTGATAACGGTTTCCCCGGAACAGCGTGTCTTAAACCACCAACAGTCTTCCAAGATAGAGGCAGATCCCCGGCGAAGGCAAGATCCCATCGAATTCCTTTGATGCAACTTGACTTTCTGATTTCCCTGCGCCACCCATCGACGCTCCGTCTTTATGCAACCGAGTTTCTCAATCTTGCTCCGTCCCCGGTTGTCCGGGCTCCGAGCTTATACGCCCGCATATTATTCTTCCGTGAGACAGCGGCTCAGCCCCGGTGCCACGATAGATCGCGAGGAACGAACTGTAACGCGTATAGAGGGTGTCCCGAAATTATGGTATTTCCGGGAAACGTCGGGTTCCCGAGGCGATTCGAAGCAACTTTTTCCTTAGCGAAAATGCGATCCGCGGCTTCGTTCGCGAGTTATTAACGAAAAACGTTGACCAATGAGAGGCGAGAGCTCGGCTGACGCGAGGCGGCGCGAGCGGACGAACCGTGGTTCCGCTGATTGGCTCGGCCGCGTAGCGCTGGGCAAGCTCGCCTCTCATTGGTCACTGTTTTTCGTTGATAACTCGCGAACGAAGCCGCGGATCGCATTTTCGCTGAGGACAAAGTTGCTTCGAATAACCTCAGGAATCTCCCGGTTCCAGGTGTTAACATAATTATGGGACACCCTGTATACTTCCTTTCTTTCGTACACGCACGAGCTCGGGGGAAGGTGCGGGAAAACGTGTCATGAATCAATTGCGGTCCCGCGTTCCCGTTGGACGAAAGAGAGAAAAAAACGACGAAGGCTAAAGGTTGCATCACTGTCAAGCCCGCCCAACACGATAATTGGATTTTCTGAATAATGCGTTCCTCGCCGGGGCTTATCGTTTATTTTCTTCGGGTTTGGCCCGCCGGTATCCTTCTGCGGGGAAATTTAAATGGATCCGGCGGACGAGACGTTATGCGGTTTCGTTGGGCCGCGGCGCACTGAAAATTTAAGCGGCCCGGACGCGCCCGGCAGTTTGGACAGCGCATTGTAATTTTCAACTTGCGACGCCCGTCCAGATTATCTGCCGCTCGCGAAGTATTACAATCGTCCGCGTTTTCGTCTGGTAATCCACGAATTTCGATGCACTGGCCCGACAGCGAAAGCTCGAAAGCGACTGTTACGGTTCGAATTACGATTATCGGCGGACGGTTTTGTATCCGCTGGAACAATTTTCGCATAGAAATTCGACGGTATAAAAAAAGTCCAAATATAATTAAGCTAAATTATTTCTAGCGATATTTTATGCAGCCGTCTCTTGTGTCTCGAGTTGCTCGCACGCGATGAAGACGAGGGAATTCCGAGCCGGCTGCAAGACTTCGCTTGTTTCTAAAAAAAACTTTAGAATTAAAGTTCTAGAAGAATTAGAAAAGCAAGATATAATTGTTATGTCGAATGAAACGTTCGACCAAAAAGTATTCGTTCGGATAACTGTCTCGGATAAATATTTACAGTAATGTCTCTCTAATTGACGCTCTAATTGACGCTCGGATTGTCCACAAAAATGGTCAATTTGGGAAGCGGAGATACGATTATTCGAGCCTTGCACCTCGTTTTTATAGTTGTTGACGATTCGTAACTATAAAAATGAACCGCAAGGATCATTTTTGTCGCATCACCGTATTCGAAACAATCCGAATAACTTTTACAATGTAGAATAACATATTTATCGAGCGATCTCCGCGCACAAAACGTCTCGACGGATCCGATTGTCCCGCGTGCTCTGCAATATCACACGCTTTAAATGTCCCCCCCTCCCCTTCCCGAGGTTAACATCCCCGGGCACGGAAGTTTAAATATTTCTACGACGTGACATCTTTTCCAGTGCGACCGCTGAAGATGGATTTAAACGGGGTGGTGGGCCACGTCGTGCGAGGAACGAACATCCTTCTGCAGTGCACGGTACGAGCGGCGAGACCCGCGGCGAATGTCACCTGGCAGAATGGCACCGAGTACTTGGAGAGCAACGACAGATTCGAGATGTTCGAGACGAAAGTGCAGGAGAACGTGAGTACCGTCTCTCCGAATTCGTGTGCATACGTGTCGGTTTTGCAAAATTAACGCGGCTAAGTCCCTCCCCGCCGACGTTTTATTCCGTTCGGCGACGCGAAATATACTCGGCGACGACGACGACGACGACGAAGACGACGAAGACGCTTAATTGACAGAAGTAGCTAAATCAGCCCCCTTCGTGCTTTTATCCCCGTTGTTCCGTTTCGCACAATTCGTATACTTGGCGATTCCGCGATTTTTCGATGCGTCGCCTCTGGCAAAAGATATTTGTTCAGAAGAAATATCAACGAGAGTACAAAATATTGTTTACATCGTGTGATATACTTTATTGTACAGTTTATTATTTGCTTTCGGGTAACCCTTTAACGATCACAATGATCTTTCTACTGAAATAAATCGAAACGAGAGAATCCAGAGAGAAAGCGAAATAATATCGATTTAATAAAAAGTTTACAAAGTGTACCGGCGTTATGATGTTCCGATCACGACGCTAAAACTAATAGGTACAAAAATGAATTCACCCTTAATTAGCAATTCCATATTTCCTCGATCATTTCACGTCGCTTCGATCATGTCCTGATAACTGTCTAATTTTTTTAATCGAATCATCGTACGTGAAAAATAAACCGTTCTCGTCGAACGATTCTCATCGCGAGTCGGTTCGCAAAATCTGACAGCGAAACTTAACGTAACTGTCGTCACGGATCCGTCGGTTCACCGTTGCATCTCAGCTCTCCGTTAAGTGGTATTCTTTCGGGCACTCGCGAACTGCGATTCGCTGCGAGAACAACGAACACGTTCTTTCGTCAACTTCCCGAAACCGTGTTAACGCAGTTGGATGTTTCGACGAGCAAATATTTTCACTAACAAAGTGCTCTGGCGCTCGCTGCATAAGCTGTCCCGAGACGTCTCTCGCAGCGAGTTCCCGAGCAATAAACTACTTTGTTCTCTGAATAAACGGGAATCCGTAGTTGATGATACTTGAAGCGCGAAAGCAATTACTCAAATTCGGCCGGCGACGCGACGTTTTCGGTATATTTCATTGGGACGTGGGTCGCTTGCTCGTTTCAAACAAGATCGATCGGCAACGCGCAGCGTTCGAGCTGCTTAAAAGTTACAGCAATGTCTCCCTAACCGACGCTCAAATTGTCCACAAAAATGGACAATTCGGAGAGAGGAGAATACGATTATTCGAGTTACGAATTGTCAACAATTATAAAATTATTATATAGTTAATTATATAATCGCATCTCCTCTTCCCAAATTGTCCATTTTTGTGTGCACGATCCGAGCGTCAATTAGGGAGACATTACTGTACTCTGTTTCATTCCGTGGGTAACGATTTATTCAGAAATTTATTGGATTCGAAATTTTTATAGACAGAAATACGTGTACGCAGAATTGAATTTTCTAAATGTTCGTAGGCGTGTATCGGTCGACCAGAAAATGATTATGATCTCTAAGAGTCCATGTTACAACGTTATTCGTCCACTCTATCGTAGTTCGCTCAACTATTATTTCCAGCAAACGCATAATATCCACAGTTTAATTGCAAGCACAGTAAATTCTACTTCACGAGCAGAGAAAATACAAAAGTTACTTTTTAACATACTTCCGTGAGTTCGAAAGCCTGCAGCCAATCGATTTTCGTAATATTCATTAAGCTGAAAGGAAAGTTTCGGACCTAATGACTTCGCTGTTTCGATGCTATTTTAAACATTTAATAACAGCAATATACATATATGTATATATTAATAATAAATAAATATTAATAATATAGCAATAATAACAATAATAGCAATAATAATCGTGGTATAATAAAACGGACGATTCGTTCTAGCAATTCGTAGCGCATAACATTTTGAATCTACTATCCGAGTTCCACGTTCGGTTTTCGATACCTTCGGGAACGATGCACACGCCTCGTATATTTCCAACATCGAGCAATTGACAGTCAATTATTCATGAGCCCTTGACTGAACAAAGGTTCTCTTATTCGGGCATGAAAAAGTGATTTCACAGATGAATAAGGTGTTCCAGGCTTCTCGCATCGGAAAATCATTATATGTCATTTCGGTCTGCGACGGTGTAATAACGCATACACGTATATATCGCGGATCTGTACGCCACGCCGCCATCATAAATCCATTATGGCAATATCTGAAGCTATAAAGTCACTTCAGTTTGGCTGGCTGAATAAGAAATCGGATCACTTTTCTTGCTCGCTCTCTAAGAAACGATAACTTGATCGTCGCGTTCGCGCCGGCATTGTTATTAGCGATCGTGCCCCGAGTGTTCTACAGTCATTTCTTTAAGAAATGTTCGGTGGAAAAAGGCGAAAAGAGGCAGCGGCCAGCATGTCTAATTTTTTTGCCACGATTCGAAGGCAATTTAGAGGCCACGTGACACGATTCGAAGGCAATTCGGGGGCCACGTGACACGATTCGAAGACAATTCGAAGGCAATTCAGAGGCCATGCGACACGATTCGAAAGCAATTCGAAAGCCACGTGCCACGATTTGAAAGCAATTCAGAGGCCATGCGACGCGATTCGAAGACAATTCGGAGGCCGCGTGCCTACTACAATAAATTCTCCCTAATTCGCGCTTATACTGTGCCCAAAAATGGACAATTTAGAAAGACAAGATACTATCATAGTCCTACGACTGGCACAAAGAAATTCACGGCAACCGGAAATTTGGCATTTCCGGGAGAATTTACTCTATTCAGACTTTCGAGTTGAAAACCGTTCGGAAACAAAAATCAAGATTCCGTCGAGTTTTCTAAATAGTACCAGCTAATTCCCGGTTCCCCGGGCAACACAACTTTCCATTAGCGAAATGCGGTTAGCTTCACGCCCGGGTACAACGTATTATTAATTGGTCCTGGCAGAATTGTGAATCGCATTATCGGCGCGGTTCTAGCGCTCGGTTTTCGGCGCGTCACGGATCATAATTAGCATTGTTTATCGAGTGCGCTTGATTATGGCGCGCGGGTGACTCAACGACTGAATCACGCGGCTTTGAACTTGGCAACAGACGGAATTTGCATAGAGCCAAGTAATTATGTGCCGCAAACGCTCGTCGATGTAAACATCGCGGCGAACGCGAGATTAAGTGGATTCGCCCGAGCAACCTTGATGGCGGTCTTTCTTCGTCTTCGTCGTTCCCGTGGGTTTTCGGGCCACTTCCGTGGCACGTGTCCCCGCGTGACCTTCTTTTCGATGCAGGTTCACCGCGGCGGAAGCTTCTCGATTTTTTTCTGGGCTCAAAATATCGAAATCTCCGTCGTTGGAAGCGCGATAGGAAAGACTTCTGCGGGCTTCTTTTCGCGAAACAAAAATTGTGAGAAATGGGAATTAAACAATTCTTGAAATGATTTCAACGAATCCTGTCACGAGACATGTGGCCTCCAAATTGCCTTCGAATCGTGTCACGTGGCCTCCGAATTGCCTTCGAATCGTATCATGTGGCCTCCGAATTGCCTTCGAATCGTGTCACGTTGCCCGTGAATTGCCTTCGAATCGTGTCACGTGGCCTCCGAATTGCCTTCGAATCGTATCATGTGGCCTCCGAATTGCCTTCGAATCGTGTCACGTTGCCCGTGAATTGCCTTCGAATCGTGTCACGTGGCCTCCGAATTGCCTTCGAATCTGCCTTTTTTTGCCTCTTGCGCACGAGTTACTATAAAAACGAGCCGAAATATCGCGACTCAGTATCAGAACATTTCTAGGAGAAATTACGGTACTCCGGTGAAGGTACTAGGTCTAGTTGGAGGCACGTATTTCAGCTTCCGAATTTTTCCCGAACTAAACGAATTACTTCGATTTCACGGTAATTTTGAGGTCGGCGCTCGCGCCGTTAAAGTGCTGGATATAGCCAGACGATCTCTATACGAAATGAGTAGCTCATTAAGCGGGTGGAGTTCGGACAGCCGACGGTTGAAAGTTTCCGCAAGACCGTCTTCACTTCTCAGCCGGGTCCTCCCGACTCCTCCTTCAGCCATCGGCTGCTGCGCTCCAATGAACTATGACCCTGAGTTATTAGCCATAGTCTCCGACAATACGGCGAATCGTATTCAAAGGGAATCCTATTAATCCCGCCGAGATTATTTCGCCGGCTCGGAAACTTATTCTCCATTTTTCACCGGTATTGGTTTCGGGACCTGGTCTCCGTTGTTTTCGGGATTTTTGGTCGCCGTGACGGATGGTCTCCTCTACCATGGGCCAAAGTATAAAGCGATGATTTGTTTTAAAACTGGTCTGAACGACTTGAATATTTGTCGAATGTTAAAGAGACTAGTTTACTGTACAGTGGTCGAAATAACTTTGTCCAAGTTTGCTATTTCTTGGAATAACGGTACAAAATAAAAAGGGAGTTTTTTGAGCCTTTTTATTGGAATCTCGAACGAAAATTTAAACAACGCGTTTCGCAGATCTCGATAACTATATCTGAATGAGACGCGGACTTGCCAATGTCAAGGTTATGTCAAAAACCGCAGATCTGTTACAATTACATCCAGTCGAATTGCATCGATAATCCAGGAAAAATACTAGTATTCGAATCGTAAGGATAATACAATATCATTCTCTCGCGCGATATTGCCTCCGTTCTATCAATTTCTACGCTAAAAGTGCATATACACCGTTCACCGTGATTTTTCTCAATTATTAATGTTTATCGACAACGTTGAAGCTCGAATTAACTATTAATAACAGCGACCCTGGCAGGTGACACCCCAATTTCCATGAAACTTGCACATAATACAGAACTCGATAAAATATTCAACGCGTATTTTTTTTTCTACCAGCCTTCATTCATATTCACGAGTTGAAAATAGCCCTCAAAGTTCGGGCTATGAATAATATATGTACTCCTCAAACAACTAGATCTTTTAATAATAATCTGTTTACGTAGGGAAATTCGGCGAGCGCAAAACACGCGAGTTTCGCAGTTACCGTTTTTCTTTCTCTTTTTTTTTTGTTAAAAATTAATAGAGATTTACGAGCGAACCGGCCGAATATACTTTCGCAGCGCCAATTTTCCGCTGTATTTTCACCTTTTCGATATGAATAATAATTGGCCGGGAAAATCCGTGTCGCGTCGTCGTCCCTTGATAAACACGCTCGATAGCGTATGCGAACACGTAGCGCGACCTTAATAAGAAAGACGAGGCCCACGAAATTAGGATCACAGCTGAAAGATGACGCAACGATGGTAGAAATGTTAAGTGACACGAAAATTCGTCATTCTGTATTCTGCTCTTTGCAATTGTAACGCAATAGCACTTTATATTTTGAGAGTTTGTATTTATATTTATATAATTCTCCTTCATTTCCGGATTACATTTTTGGGACATCCTATATTTATCCACGTACCACGTAATCACTATTTTTAAAAAATATTTATTTGCTATTCTTTACTACGCGAGAAGATGCAAATACACGGTGTCCCGAAAATGTCTAGTAATCCAGAAATGGAAGGTTCCTGAGGTCATTTGAAGCAACCTTTTCCTTTGCGAAAATTTTCTCCGAGGTTTCGTTCACGAGTTATTAACGAAAAACACTGACCAATGAGAGGCGAGCTCAGCCAGCGGAAGGCGGTCGAAGTTCAGTTCCGCTCATTAGCTTGGCCGCCTAGCGCCAGTCTCGCGCCAAATGATCTCGCCTCTGATTGGTCACTGTTTTTCGTTAATAACTCATAAACGAAGCCGCGGATCGCATTTTCGCTAAGGAAAAAGTTGCTTCGAATCACCTCAGGAATCCCCTACTTTCGGATTGCGAGACAGATTTTTGGGACACCCTGTATATTTACAGTCTATTCACTATTTCAAAGATCTATATTTTCCCAGCCCTGTTAAAATGCGCGCAGCTCCCGAAACCCCTAGATAAGCACGCGCCACCGTCAGACTAGCCTAAAAAAAAAAAGAAAGAATAACGCCGTCGTAGTTCCGGAAGGTGAAGTTGCTCGGAGAAAGGTAACAGTTCCATTTCAATAATGGTGAAAGTTTATATTGCGCCGGCAGTTAGGAATACCGCACGATTTCGGTGCCGCGTGCCCCGTTTCGCTCCGAGTTTTCGCCGGTTGACGTGCCGCGGGAAATGCTCGATAACGAATGTCGCGTTGATTTAATATTCTTTTAATACTTTTTGTTCGCAGAACGACAGCACGTCGGAAACCATAAGTTACTTGGCTTTTACCGCCACCGAGTACGACAACGGCAGGACGTTCAAGTGTTACGCCGAGAACTCGGTCACACGCTACGAAAACCTGGAGCCAATGAAAGAGTCGACAACGATTGAAGTTTTATGTAAGTGAGACATAACTTTCCCCCAATGCCTCTGTTTCAGCGGAATGCATGGCTGCGGCCTCGGCGCACGCGATTTCCATTATTCTGCCAAAATGGAGTCGTGAAGTATCGTCGTTGTGTTTTGTTCCGCGCGCGCGCGCACGATCGTTGATCGCTGCCGACGATCGAAAGCTTCATATTCGAAGCTTCGAATGTAGGGTAAATGTATCGATTACCTAATTTTCATCACGAGATAACGATGTGTTCGAGCATTTCATCGAGGAACGATGTGTTCTGAATAACGATCGAAATTGATTGGCCCGGAAAACGATACGTATGCAAGAAAATATGAAAAAATAATTCTTTTAAATTTTTGTTGCAACAACGTTGATATCGCCTGTTCAATTATTTTGTTCAATTTATTAAGGTATATAGGCTTATAAATTGAATATAAACCGATTCGTGCAGCAGTTCTTTAGTGGTCGAGGCAGAAGAAAAACAGCCTAATTGTTACCCTTTACGAGCAATATTTCTTTTCAAATCCTTCAAAGTAGAATGATAACGATCGACGACTCCCTCTTTTTCTAACAACAGTGGGAACATTTCCAAGCGTTAAAATTTCAAAGCGTAATTCTAACCCGATTTTCTTCTCTCGTCGCATTGTCATCTCCACGTGTTGGAATACAACGATACCATCGTCGTAAGCGATAGACGCACGGGGGTAGGAGGCGTTCCTTCCCCGGCTGCGAAGGGACCCAGGCGGGGGTGTGAAGTGGGGACTGCAAGTCAGTCCCAGAAAGTCAGCGAGCATAAGCGCATCAAGGCACTGTTTCCCGTTCCCTTATCTACACTTCAGCAAATATCTAAACACAGCAACGTGGAAACACCGACGCACACAGTCATTTCTAACACCACGCTTTCCTAATCAACGGAGAGACGGTTCTTGTTAACCCGTTCGGTGACGAATAAGCGATATTAATATAAGCGATACAAGCGATATAAATTTCGCCGAGATTAAGGATTTTTCATCGGGGCACCGTTCCCGATAAAATTCTCGCTTACCGTCGGCGGCCATTGTCGCCCGGAACTTGCTTAGACAAATGATTCTCGTACAATTGTCTGCGCGGAAATACGAGAAACTAAAGGCTACGATTAAACGGAAATTTTCCTCGGGGAGGAACGGGCCGCTCGCAAAAAAAGTCGTAAAGAATCGCTTCTAATTTAGCCCCAACGATCCGAACGGAATAAAACTACATCAAGGTCCCGGCATTCTTCGCCCTAATTTTTCTTTTTTTCTCTACCCCCTCCCTCTTTTCCTGCGACGTTTGATCAACATCCGATATACCAGACCCGAAATTAAGTTACGCCTCGCCGGCGAGGGACCTGCGCGCATGTATATCCCTGTTTTTATCACACTCTTTCCAATTTGCTTCTTCGGCCCGGTTAAACGGCCGTAATCATAGTTTCAATTAACCGGAATAAATTGCAACCCTGTCAATTTACTGGTCGATCATGCTTCGGGAAAGACGAACAAGCAACGCGAAACCTCAACGAGACGCTCCCGCATTTTGCAAAAATAAAATGCAGTTGATAATTTCCGGATTCCCTATTTCCGGGCTGCGAGACATGTTTGGGACACCCTGTGCATTTTACGCGCTGATACGAAAATCGCGTTACGAATGACATTAATATTACAACGTTAATTTCACAATATTCTAACGAGTTATAATATTTTACAATATTCGCGTAACATTATCGTCGCGTGGTATCATTTATTATTCGTTTCCTCGAGAATATCCCGATTCGTCTTCAAACGCGCTCGTAACAAACACGATTACAATTACAGGTATTGACATTTTGATCTTTTTTCCATCGCACGCTTCGGTGTGCGACGTTGCAAACCGAAGTGTTCGGGTGGACAGGCCGCAGGGACCTTAAATCAGGCGAACGTGTTCGACCCAAAAATCAGAGCCCGGGGTTCCTTAACTGCATTTCCATCGGAGGGGTGTGGGTTTGGACATGTCCTCGGGTCCGATCTCGAGATAGGACGGCGAGAAAGCGCTAAATCCCGATGGACGTTTCCGATAATCCCGTCGCTTATAAGCAACTTCTTGTATCTTTCAATTACGTTTGTAGGAAGGTGGGTGGTCTGGTGCCTGGGGGGAGGGAGAGGAGCCGTGCCGAGGAAAGAAGATGGGGGACGGTAGATCCCGGTGCCGCGATACGAAAAAGAAAGATAGATAGCCGTATATCTCGTTGATGTTTCCAGTTACGTCGCGAAGCGACGGGGAGAAGTTTCGTTTTGTAGCCAGCACGAAAGCTATCTACGGATTGGAAACGAGAAACTCGAAGCTGGCACCGCTCCAACTTCTCTCCCCTTAGACAGGCCACTCTCCCGACTATGTACTTACGGCGGCGGCGGGGGGGTTTTGTTTTATGCCCGGTATTTTGCGCTAGCCGTGTTTAAACATATCCCGGAACGCGGACGAAAGCTCCGCGGACGAACCGCGACGCGCCGCCGCGGATTTTCGCCTCCGCGCGGCAGCGGCCGCGTTTTTGTTTTCGCGTCGGACACGCGGAGCACGCGGCGACATATTTTCGCGGAGAAACCGCGGCGAACACTTCCGCTTTTCCCGCGAATTTATCGTCCCTTTCGTACGGTTACTGTTCGACGCCCGGCTCTTTGCGAAGACGAGCGCGACTTCGGCACGGAAAATAGATTTCGGGCCGGCGATTTCATCGAGTTCACCGCGCTTTTTAGACTTTTATCAGTTTCCGATTTTCCGCCATTATTTTTAGACTCTCTCTCGCTATCTCTCTTCTATCGTTTTTGGATTAGATTTTTCGAATTATTTCCGGGCTCTCCGTTTATTTTTGGTTTCCTATACGGTTAAAGTACTCGTAATGGAACGCTTTTCAGGAGAGCGTAAGATTATCGTCGATTTAATGACAGCTTGAAAGTGTCATCGTCGAATATTTATACTGCCGTTCGGCAGATCGATGTTAATACGAGTAAAAAATAATGCGAGTAAAATAGTGAAATGCAATCGTGTACCTATTATGGAACACATATTTTGCGTTACGGCGAGCAACTGTTTGAAGCAGAATCACTTTTTTCAAGTTGGATCAAATGCACAAACGAACCAATTATAATATTTTCTTTAGAAGGGCTTAGATTAGATTAAAGATTGAATTAAATTAGGACTAATTTACTAGGCAATGTGAGAAAAGTATTTCTTCGAAAATTGCAACTGCTTCGAATGACAGAAAGAGTAAAAAATATACGTGCTTCTCAACTTTCTTATCTGAATCGAAATTATATATACTATATACTATATATGTATATTTGCTATATATATTTACAGATCCACCGACGGTGAGAATGAGACCGCAGAACATCACAGTGAACGAAACCGAAGACATTCTCATATTTTGCGATTACGAAGCGAACCCAGCAACGTTAACGAATGTAACATGGTAAGCTGACACGTAGCTTGTAAAATAGATTAAATTAATATATGCGCACTCGGAGAGACGCTCTGCTCGTGTTACCGCATTATAACGCGAGCAGATGCAACTTAAAACGGTGGACGTATTAAAACGATTTAAGATTATCTCAACTGCAGCGATATTGGTACATTAAAATGATTAGAACGAGACCGAAATTTGCATTTCGCGCAAAGATCCGCGGTCGGGCGCGAATCGATATAATTAATATAATTAATATAAGATTATCTCAACTGTGCAGCGATACTGGTACACTAAAATGATTAGAACGAGACCGAAATTTGCATTTCGCGCAAAGATCCGCGGTCGGGCGCGAATCGATATAATTAATATAATTAATATAAGATTATCTCAACTGTGCAGCGATACTGGTACACTAAAATGATTAGAACGAGACCGAAATTTGCATTTCGCGCAAAGATCCGCGGTCGGGCGCGAATCAATATAATTAATATAAGATTATCTCAACTGCAGCGATACTGGTACGTTAAAATGATTAGAACGAGACCGAAATTTATATTTCGCGCAAAGATCCGCGGTCGGGCGCGAATTAAACCGCGAAGACGCCACTCTGCGACAGATTCGTTTCGAAACGAACAGTTGAACGAAACGATAACAGCGTTTGTCGCGGTATCGTCTCCGAGACACTTTCGCTCTCGGCGCTCTTATGTATAGTAATTATGTCGTTCCCGGCGCCTTTATACGTATGTATAGTAGTCGTGTCGTTCCGAGGCGCGCCGGGAAGCGTCAAAGTACAAGCATTCGCTTTGAATCACGCCTCGCTTTCGCACAAAACTGCTCGCTGCGGGTTTATTGACGGCACACGGCTCGAGAAGTTCATACCGCTTTGTCCGACCGCGGCTAACTATGTTATAAAACAAGACGGAAGTAACGAGAAGTTAATCCGTAGTTGGCGAAGATTGGATTGAACTTGGCCCCCGCGACAATACAGATTCTTTATCGACTTAATGCCGCGGCATTCCGCAGCCACGACCCGCGAAGTGTTCCTTTCTAAAATTCATTTCTCTATGGCGCGGCCTTTATGGCGGAATACCAACTGTCGCGGTAAGTTCCCGTGAATTCTTGTGTTAGCAGTAAACCGCGGGAACTTCATTAGTTACACGGTGGTTTGAGGGGGAGGGAACGGAGCCGAGGAGCTTGTTCAGGTGTACTTCGAATTCGACGACAGATTTTTCCCGTTTCGCGCGCGCCATTTCGCTTGTTACGACTATTTCGTTCGTTTTTTTGTATTTTCTATTTTTTATTCCCAGACTATACTTGTTAATATTTCTAGCAGGTATCGTAATTTCTCCGAGAAATGTTCGGAGGCCGGAATTTCGGCGCACGAAAGCTGTTGCACCAAATTATCGTCGAGTTAAACGTCGGTTCCATCGAACGAAACCTTGTTATTCGTTATCAACATCGAATTTTTTTTCTTATTCGATCATCGAGTACGTTGAAAAAGCTCTCGAGAATATCGCTAAATAAAATTACAACCGGCCCGAGGCATAACTCGGTTACGGTTCCGTCGGAGAGGTCCGCCGTTCGAATGTTAATGTCGCAGTTGAAAAATATTCGTTTGCGCGCGCGCTATATCGTTTGCGCTATAAATATTTCCAAAGCGAGATGAAACGTCCGACTCGATGCTGTCACTTAGTCCATATGCAGCACTGTTTACGAGAAAAATTTTTTACGAGTCGCAAAGTAACGTAATCGTAAACCTGTTTATCGACCGTATACGGATATTGGTATTCAAAAGGTTAATACGACGCGTAAAACAGAAATAGGATAACTTCCGTGCGATAACGTTTCCCGCCGTTGGTCTGAAAATGTATTTTTTAGCAGTGCCACGCCGCGAAACCTTTAGAAAAGCGTCTAAAGAACGCGCGACGCGAAATGCTTTCTAATTCGCAACGAGAGAATTCGAATAAATTGCTTGGACGGACGTTTATTCTGTTAACGAAAACCGTTTCGAAATGCCTCGACGTTATTATATTTGTACATTATATATTTTATCATTACATATTTTATTTTAAAAAGTTCGAAATTGGCAAGATTTCGTCAATTCGAATGTAGAAATAAAAGCATCGTATCACTGTGAAGAGGCGAACGGAAAGAAGGGACGAACCGATTATAGAATCTATTATATTTTGCAATATTATATACTATATATTACTATCGAATATTAACATTATTACTTATTATACTTATTACATATTACATATAAATTTTAGAATATTTCAAATCCCATGGAAAACATCAGAGAGTTCGAACGCAATCCGTAAATAGGAAAGGCTTTTTTTTATCCATTTCCGTCACCGTTTCCGGTATAAGCTTCTTAGAAACACTTGTATCAAATTGAACCCCCCGCAGCTGTTAATTAAGGAGTTACGAATGAAAGTTCACTCGAATCGCGGTCCTTCGGAACGCGAGTCTTTCAAGTTGCCACTATAATTAATGCCGCATAATAGGGTGGAGAAGTTTCTCGTTCGGTGGTTCACGTTTTGATCTCGAAAGGAAAAAGTGACTCAATTC